ATGGGCTTGGTCAAAAGACTGAGCTCTGTAGTTGCTATTCCCAGTGGTTGGAGTGCATTGTGATGCTGAGCACTGGAGCTGGGCACTATTTGCCTGCCCTCCCTCAATGGCCCCCAGGCAGTGAGGAGGAGAAAGGGTCGGAATCTGCCATGGTGTACAGGCATGAGGATGGGACAGGGTTACTGGCCTAGGGAGTGGAGGACAGTAGCACACTTGATATATTTTGATCTCAGTGAGTCTTTTATGGTTGGAGTGCATTGTGATGCTGAGCACTGGAGCTGGGCACTATTTGCCTGCCCTCCCTCAATGGCCCCCAGGCAGTGAGGAGGAGAAAGGGTCGGAATCTGCCATGGTGTACAGGCATGAGGATGGGACAGGGTTACTGGCCTAGGGAGTGGAGGACAGTAGCACACTTGATATATTTTGATCTCAGTGAGTCTTTTAACACAGTCCCATATGAGAATCTCATAAGCAAATTAGGGAACTGTGGTCTAGTTAAATTAGTATCTGGTCTTTCAACCAGCTATGAACCAAATTTCTCAAAGAGCAATTATTAAGGATTGCCAAACTGGTGGGTGGGTGGGTGTGGGTGGGTGTGTGTGCATGTGTGTGCGTGTGTGTGTGTGCGCGGGGGGAGTTAAACAGGGACCACTCTTGGGTCATGTACTACTCAATATTTTCATTAATGACTGAGAATGGAGAGGAGAGGATGCTTATGAAATTTGAAGATGACACCAAGCTGGGAGAGGGTGCAAGCACTCTGCAGGTGAGGCTTAGAATTCAAAATGGCCTTGTCAAATTGGATAACTGGTCTTATTTCAACAGCATGAAATTCAATAGAGACAAGTGCAAAGTACTTTACTTAGGAAATAAAAAAAAATCAAATCCATAACAAGAAGTGGGAAATAACTAGCTAGGTGCTGAAAAGGAGCTGGGGATAATAGCGGATCACAAATTGAATGAGTTAACAGTGTGATTCAGTTGCAAAAAAACTAATATGATTCTGGAATGCATTAACAGGATTGTTGGATGCAAGCTTCTGGAGGTAGTTTTCCTGCTCTTCTTGGCATAGGTGAGGGCCTCATCTGGAGCACTGTGTCTAGTTCTGGGC